TTTTTAGGTGAGCAGAAAACCCAGTGGGCCTCCGCCCCCAATTGCAAACATTTTTCTAAGGAGGGAGAGTATGCGGAGGAGTGGACAAGGTTTTGGATGATGGGTGAATAAAAGGAGAATATTGTAGTTGACTAAAACCACAAAGGAATGCTACATGTCTCTATAGGAAAGACTGTAAAGTCCATATTTAGGGGGGAAATAAGAAAAAAGAAACCAGTAAGGAAGATAAAGAACAGTTCTGGATTGAAAAACTAGTGATGGTATAAGAGAGGATATAAAGAAAAGTCAAAGAATAGTGATTACTTAAAGCTATAACAGTTTTGAAGAATAACCTACAATTTTTACAAAATTAGGAGTTTCATTCCAGAGTGATGAAGTCTGCTGTAGCACCATCTAGAGAATGAAAAATAGTACAAGTGACTAAGCAGAATCTAAAATAAGAGAAAGGAGATTTTGTTCATATAATGACCGCAGGGTTTTATATGTGGCATTTGAGCCCTTCTAAAAGTAACAACCTGTGATCAAGATGGTAGCTGTAGTAGAAAGATGACTAGATTGAGTGTCAAGAATCCTGAGATTTCTCTTCAGCTTTGAGTACATTATACCTAACTTGTTCTTGTCAATGATAAAATGAAATTGGCTCCTGCTCTGCACATAAAACAGGATTGTTGTATGTCAGATTAGCTGATCTGTATACCAAAGCACATTGAAAACTACAAAAGACCACGTAAATGCTAGGTAGAAAGAGAATTATGCCCTTGGAAAATAAGTTTATAATTCTGAATTTTCCTGGATATAGAATCATGTGTTATTTATTAACTTTATGCCAGTGAATTCCTGTCAAAGAAAAGTATTAGAAAAGTAAAGTATTAGAAAACTCCTGATTACTGGCTATGTTGAACATTTTGATCTTTATATTTGAGCAACAGGAAGTCACTAATAGTAGAGGATGGAGGTGAGGAGATATGCCATTATTTATATTTTTTAAAACACTCTTTTGTATGGAGTTTGGGGGTAATGGTGGATGCAGGAAGCCATTTTATGCTTTTAGAGTCGATGTTATAATGGACAGCGTAGTGGTGGTGTAAGAAGAGAGCTGTTTAGAAAGACACAGGTGATAGATTACTGATAGATTTGTTGTTAGAGGAAAGGAAGAAGGTGATTCCCAACTTTGCCAACTGGTTAGATAATCATGCTATTCACCAAAATAGAGAACCTTGGAGGAAGATCAGGTTTGTGGAGGAAGATCAGGTTTGTGGAGGAAATCATGATCTTTGAGTAGAATTTTTAAGATTTTTTTTTTTTTTTTGAGAGAGAGAATGAGAGAGAGCACGAGAGGGAAGCGGGTCAGAGGGAGAAGCAGACCCCCCACTGAGCAGGGAGCCCGATGTGGGACTCGATCCCGGGACTCCAGGATCATGACCTGAGCCGAAGGCAGTCGCTTAACCAACTGAGCCACCCAGGCGCTCCCTTTGAGTGGAATTTGATCTTCTACTGAGACCTCCAAAAACCTATGTTGAGGAAGTCACTAGCAGATACTAAGAGAAGCAGTGGATGGAATGAGACCCATGGTAGGCTGTACTGTGAGAACAGTCTAGGAGTTAGCTTTGAACAACTCCAGTATCTAAAGAGTAGGAGGAAAGGGATGAGCCAGTGCAGGAAATGGTCATGGAATGATTAGAATGATAGGAGGAAAACTAGGAGAAGGTTGTACCTGGAATACCAAAGGAAAATATTTTAAGGAGAAAATGGTGAATGTTGGTTATAGCTGCTAAATAGTCTAGCAAGATGGGCTTCAAAAACATACATTGCATTCAACAACTTGGAGATTATTGGTGACCACAGCAGAAGTCACTTGGGAGGAGTGTTGGGGCAGTAACCATTTTGAGATGGATTTGGGGTGAATGAGAGATAAAGTATAGATGACAGTTACAAACAACTTAATCAAGGAATTCAGCTTTTGGAAGGAGAGGAGAGTAATGAAGTCAAATAAAGGGAGAAGGATAGTGTTTCAATTTATGATTTTTTAAAGCCTTACTTACTGTACAAATATATCATGGTAGATAATACAAAAGGTAGATCAGTGAATGTAGTTTTGCAAATCCAGCACCTGTGTAACTATCACCTAGGGTAAGAGAGAGAATATTGTTACCTAATTGCTTAGTGATTTTGAATTTCATGTCAATAGAATTATTTGCTGTGTAGTTTTTTATTTTATTTTATTTTATTTTATTTTATTTATTTATTTGAGAGAGAGAGAATGAGAGACAGGAGAGAGGGAAGAGGGTCAGAGGGAAGAGGGTCAGAGGGAGAAGCAGACCCCCTGCCGAGCAGGGAGCCCGATGCGGGACTCGATCCAGGGACTCCAGGATCATGACTTGAGCCGAAGGCAGTCGCCCAACCAACCGAGCCACCCAGGCGCCCGCTATATGGTTTTTTTTGTGTCTGGTTTCTTTTGCTCATTATGTTTGTGAGGTTCGTCCCTGTTATGATGTGTGGCAGTGGTTCATTATTTTTCTGTGGCGAATAGTATTCCATTGTTTCAGTATACCGCTGTGCTTGTCTGCTTTCCTTTTGATGGACATTTGGATTGATTCCAGCTTTTGGCTCTTTACAAATAATGCTGCTAAGGGAGTGCCTGGCTGGCTCAGTTGGAAGAGCACGCGACTCTCGATCTTGGGGTTGTGAGCTTGAGCCCCACACTGGGTGTAGAGATTACTTAAAAAAAAAATGAAATCTTAAAAAAACCCACAAATAATGTGGCTGTGAATATTCTTGTGCTTGTCTCCTGGTGTATATATGCTCTTTTTTTTCTAATGATTGTAAACCTAGAGTAGAGCTACTTGGTCAAAGGACATTGTGTCTTCAACTTGGGCATATATTGTCAGACTGTTTTCCCAAGTGGTTGTACTGATTTACATTCCCTAGCAGTAAATATGCAATACTTTATTCCACATCCTGCTAACACTTGGTTTTATTATTGTGTTGGTTTTTTTTTTTTAAAGATTTTATTTATTTATTTGACAGAGAGGGACACAGCGAGAGAGGGAACACAAGCAGGGGAAGTGGGAGAGGGAGAAGCAGGCGACATAGGGCTTGATCCCAGGACCCTGGGATCATGACCCAAGCCGAAGGCAGACGCTTAACGACTGAGCCACCCAGGCCCCCTGTCATTGTGGTTTTAATCAATACTTGCTTAATTACAAATGAGATTGAGCCACTTTTCATATTTATTGATGGTGGATTTATTTGAATGTCTTCTTTTTGAAGTGTTTTTTCATGTCTCCAGCCTGTTTTTCTGGTGACTGACTTTTTCATATTGGTTTTTAATTGTTACACGTACAAGATGAGTCCCTGTGGGGTTATAATTGTTCTAAGTCTCTTCTCCCCTGCTGTGTCTTGCCTTTTCACTTTTCTGGTAAGGGTGGCTCATGATTAACAGAAGTTCTCCATTTTAATGTAAGAGATAATGTAGTAGAATTTGCCAATCTTTCATGCAAAGACTTTTTTTGTGTGTCCTATTAAGAAGTCTTTCCCTGTACCATGATGACGAAAATGTGCTTCTACATTATCCACGCATGTTTTCCTAATTTTACCTTTGTTATTTACATCTAAAATTCCCCTGGCACTGATTTATTTGAAGTTTTTTAAAAGGTAGGAGGCACTTCAGCATGTTTAAATGCTCGTTGAAAATATCTAGTAGCATGGAAGGTATTGAAGATACAGGAAAGAAATGATTAGAAAAAGGCTCCTGAGAAGGTAGGGGAGAATGGGATCCAAAGCAGAGATGGAGAAATTTAGTCTAGACAGAAGGAAAGACCACGGTTTGGAATGAGATGGAATGAGAACAGAGTGGTACCAGTCCACTCAGGTCTTTAGCAACAGGAAATTTCTAGTTTCCCTGTGCAGTCTCAGACACATTATCTCCTGAGTAAGGAGAGATTGGGTGGAGTCAGGGCTTGGAGAAAGCTTAAGAAAGTCATTGAAGAAATTATAGGTGAAGTTCCAGAAAATAGAGTAAATGTGATGTGCTGTTTTGAGGGTCCAGTTGAGGTTTGTAGAGATAAATTAATTTATAGTGGTACCAAATCTGTCTAATTGTGTGATATTCCTGTAGCAGTACTTGATTGCCATAGAATGTATGAAGATAGTGGGTAGTTGGGTTTGTCTAGGATTGAGATTTTGCGAGATGGGTGCCATGCAGAAATCCCATAAAAAGAGATCAGAGACTGTAGATTATTGGCAGAAGTTAGATGATTGATCAAAGACCATAAGATGGAAGGAGAGTCAATATGAGGTGGTCTGAAGAATAGGGAGAAGGCAGTGGTATTGGTGGACCAGAAGACCTAATGAAGTCAGAGAATGGATCATAATGGAAGTGGTTGAGCAAACTTGCTGGAGGATAAGGTTGTGATTTGAGAATAGAGTGCTTGAATTTGTGTCTTGTGAGGTGCAATGGTTTTGTTCAGGAAGGATATCTTTCATAATACTGATTATATAACAGATGCTTAATCACTGATGCGAATTGGGTCGATTAGACAGGTACCTATAATTCTCTTGTAGTGGACCATATGCCTGGTGTTCAGGTACATCAGAATTCAATTCCTAAACATGAAGGAATATGGCTTGTCTTCCACTGTTAGCTTTACAAATATTAGAAATTCTAGTAGGTTATACTCATATTTATATTTAATTAATTTTGGTAAAATATTTTTTTTATGTATCATTTGCAGATGGTTTTGTTCCTGGTATTAATATTCCCAAGTTCTCCAGTGAGAGTTTTTTTTTTAAAGTCTTACTTGTGCAGATAATTATAGGTACTGTTAAAAAAAAAACTACTAGTTTTATAATTTCAGCTTCCTGTTCACTTTCTTATAAATGATGTCTTCCAAATACTTACTTTCTACTGAAAAACAGTTTAAACAATTGTTAGACTAATGATATTAAAGAAGTGTAGTTTTCTTTTTAATTTGCTTCTTTGTGGCTTAATTCTAACACAGATACATCAAGAAATCTGGAATTTCATGAAATACACAGCACTGGGAATGAGCCACCTCTGCTGATTATGATCGGCTACAGTGATGGAATGCAGGTCTGGAGCATTCCGGTAAGTCTGGATGTGTTTGAATCCCTAAGATATAACACTGGCCAGCATGCTAGCTGATGTGAAATCTGGCCATACTTTCTGTAAGGTCTCATCCATTTATTCCACAAGCATTTGCTAAGAGGCTGCTGTTTGTGTAACACTGTGCAAGGCACAAAGAACAAGGGACAAGTGAAGGGGCAGAGGGGCTGTAAATGATTTGTGATGTCCCGGCCAGGAATTGTGGGAATCAATTTATTTACATGCAAGATCTCATTTTTTTTGTCATAGTAACTCTATTGAGTAGGTATTATTATTATTATTTCCCTCCCATTTTCCAGAAGAGTAAACAAACTTACAGAAGACTTTTTCTTTTCTTTTTTAAAATTAGCAGTCATTAAAAATCAGTGTTTTGAATTGGTTAAAACAGTCATGTGGTACAAAATTCTTGAGGTTATGAAAGGTTAAAAAACTCCCTCCCACCCTTGTCCCCCATTTCCCCTTGAGGCAACACAGATTTTTAGTTTCCTATGTATCCTTATAGCTGTGTTTTATGCAAATAAAAACATAAATTTGTTTCTGCCACCCTGCTCTCCCTAACAGATGGGAGCACATTATATAACTTAGTCTGTACCTTGCTGTGTTTTACTCATAATGTCAGTATTCAGAGAGCTTCTTCATTGAATTTTATAGCTGCATATAATCCCATTATTTGGATTTTCCTTAATTTATGTAATTTGTTCCTATATTGAAAATACTTGAATGTCTCTGTTTTCTACTATTAGACATAATGATGTAATACATGAATCTGAACAAAGGTTATTTTATGTCTGTGCATCTGTATAAGATAAATTTCAATTTTGGTAAGTGTTTAAAATTGCCTAATATTGGTCCCAGTTTTCCTCTTAAATCCTACATGTTCCTCTTTGGGATGACCTACCAAGAGGCTTGGTAGGGATCACAGCTGAGTGAACTGTAATACAGATTGCATACTTTGGCTTGTACTTACATCCTGGCTTGGCTGAAATATTGGATCTCTCCAGTAGATGGGGGGCGGGGTGCGGAGGGGAGCTTCTGTTGTGTGGTTCTTTTGCAGTTGGAAGCTCAAGGCTATTTGTAGCTTTAATAAATTTACTCACCAAATTGTTTGAAGACCCTGGTGTATGTGTATGTGTTTCAGCTAGAATTTCTCCCCCCTCTTTTTGGTTCTGTCCGGTAATATCATTCCTTCTTAAAAGATTTATAGAAAAACATAGTATATTATGTCAAATTTAAAGGAATTCAGGATGTTCTTGAGTACAGAATTTGGCTTCAGCGGCATAAAGATTATTAAATAAAGATCACATTGGACTTCAGAATTCTTTCATATTTTATTTTATTTTTTTAAAAAGATTTTATTTATTTATTTGACAGAGCGAGAGAGCACAAGCAGGGAGAACAGTAGAGGGAGAGGGAGAAGCAGGCTCCGCGCCAAGCAGGGAGCCTGATGCGGGGCTTGATCCCAGGACCCTGAGATCATGACCTGAGCCAAAGGCAGACACTTAACCATTTGAGCCACCCAGGCGCCCCTTTAATATTTTAAATAAAAAGTTATTTAGTCTTTGATAAGTCACTGATGATGAACTTTGGTCTTTCATCTAATCATATAATTATGTATGATATTATTAATTATTTAGGGTTAGGGTTTGTTTTTAAAGATTGGCTTTATTTTGCAGAGGTAGAAGAATCCTGGTATGTCATGAAATGAGTGTCCTCTTTCTTTTGCCTTTTGGGGTGGGTAGTTGACTTTTTAAAAAGATTTTATTTATTTATTTTGACAGAGAGAGACACAGCGAGAGAGGGAACACAAGCAGAGGGAGTGGGAGAGGGAGAAGCAGGCTTCCCGCCGAGCAGGGAGCCCGATGCGGGGTCAATCCCAGGATCCTGGGATCATGACCTGAGCGGAAGGCAGACGCTTAACGACTGAGCCACCCAGGCGCCCCTAGTTGACATTTTTCATGGCCCTTCAATGCTGTTTGTAATTTAAGTGTCATACCGAAGGCATGGACAGAGGACTTAAAATTAAGCAGTGGTTTTTTTTTTCCCCCCACCACCAAGAGAAATATTTCTAGGTTGTGATCAGGGGAAAGTAAATGTAACTTTCTTATTAAGAGATACAATATTTTGATCCATTACACTGTTTGTTGACAGACTTGAAGGCAGAGGGGAAGCTAAAGCTTTAACAAGAAGCTTGGGCCTGTGTGATTAGGGTTGTTGACTGGACTGAGTACATTCCTTTGGTGGTACTCAGGCTACCCACTTGTTCTGGTTATAATTAGAGGTATCACTTTTAATAGTTTTAAAGTTAACTTGTGTTTAGCTCTGAGGGACTTAGAGGTCTTCTGAGTAATTTAAATTACTTGTTTAAAGTAATTCTTATGCCCAGATTGCATTTTGAGAGCCTCGAATAATCTTTTCTTCATGCAATATTCATTAGCTAATTGTTTGCTATTATAGTATTATAGCCCCGTGAGGACTGTTGCAAGAATTAGGAGGCAGTTTGGGAAAATGAGCTCCTTCTGTTGCATTGATTGTGCTCTTACTGTGTTCAAAGCATTTTATAGACACAGAATCTCATCTGTCGTACACTGTGAGGTAGAAGTTATCCTGTTTTACAGGTGGTAACGTCATACCACTTGTAAGAGGTGGAATCGGAATTCAAACCCAGTTCTATCTGACCACAAATTCAAAGCCTATGATCTCAGAGCTGTACTTCATTACTCACCAAATGTGATCGCAGAAGATACGCCATGCAAGTACTTTGGCGGTTCGGTTTTAGTTTTCATTATACAAGGTTATGCTGTGCCTTCAACTCTTCATCTCTTAGAGTACTGTGGCTGATACCCATTACTAACTAAACCCTTCCAAAACTTATCACTAGTCAGCTATTCAGTAATCACTGAAGTGTTACCATGTGCTAAACAGTGGGGAACTTACGTTGGTCAACCTAGAAATAATCCTGGCTCTTAGGGATCTTTGCAGACCATAAATCGTATTTGCTTTTGAAGTACATGTGAGTGAGCAGAAAGTCAATCCCTATCCAAGCCAGAGCTCGTTTTTTTTGCTTCAAGTTTGTGAACAGGGTTCCCTCCTCTTGATTTTATATAACCTGGGAGTCTCAGATTGAGAAAGTAAACAGATCCTGGTTACACATTTAAAAAATTATCTATTTACGAACTGCACAAATTTGAACAAGGCCCAAATGGTGTCTCGATACATGGTTAAGTGGAGTTCGCTCAGAAGCAGGACCTCCCGGAAGTAGTTGTTCTGCTGCCCAGTTCCCACCACTCTGTATATGGGGCGGCTGGAGGAAAACACCAGCCTCCCCAGCTTTCCCAGGCTGTCAGGCCCCTTATCTCAACACATCTGATGCCACATAAGAAAGCAGGATTATTTGTTGATGTTCTGGATGAACAGGCCCTTTTCCCACTCATGCCTAACAATCTCACTGCGTCTTTTTGGTAATATAAATATAGTTTCTCTTGCTTAAAATCCTTAACCTAAAAAAAATCAAGATTGTATGTGGATTAAAAATCAAATAGTTTTGTGGGATTCATATGAAAAAATAAGCAGTTCTGTACTCTTCCTTTCACAATTTCTTGAATTCTATTAGCTGTTACCAGTTTTTATTTCAGTCATTTTAATATGTCCTATGTACATTCTTGATTTTTCTTTTCTCCCAGTCTTATACATAGAATGACTTGATGCCATGAACAATGAGGACTTAAAAGGTGTTCATTATTGGGGCTCTTCAGTGGCCAGTTGGTTAAGCCTCTGACTCTTGATCTCAGCTCAGGTCTTGATCTCAGTGTCGTGGGTTCATGCCCTGTGTTGGGCTCCACACTGGGCATGGAGCCTACTTAAAAAAAAAAAGGCATTCATTTATTCAGCACAGATCTGGGATAAAATATGTATTTTGAGCAAAACAGACATGATGTTTGCTCTAATGGAGCTAGTAGGAAAGATGGATTTAAATAAAAATAATATACAACTTAAATTGTAATATGAAAAGAATAAGAGATCATAATAATAAGGAAGTGGCATAGAAATTAAGATTTAGCAAGGGTAAGCTTAGAACAGTAGTCAGTGGCTCTGAGGTGGAAATGTTCTTTCCTCTATGGTTGGACATTGATTTAGATTTCTTTTTTTTTTTTATAAGATTTTATTTATTTGACAGAAAGAGACACAGTGAGAGAGGGAACACAAGCAGTGGGAGTGGGAGAGGGAGAAGCAGGCTTCCTGCCAAGCCGAGAGCCCGATGTGGGGCTCGATCCCAGGACCCTGGGACCATGACCTGAGCCTAAGGCAGACGTTTAACGACTGAGTCACCCACGTGCCCCTTGATTTAGATTTCTTAAATATTTTTTTTTCTTAAAGAGTATTGAGATAAATATCTTTATGATCATATAATTTGGAGAGATCAATAAAAGTAGATGCACCAAGGCTCTTGATAGATTTACCAGATTGCATTCTTATAAAGCCATGCCACTTATATTTACCCCATTTATTTATTAATTCATTCACTCAGTGAAGATTTATTGATTGCCTTTTACAAGCCAGACCCTGTTCAAGGTGCTGGGAAAACAACAATGAGCAAAACAAAATCATTCTTCTTGCGGACTTTCCATTCTAGGTAGGTGGGGAAGATGATAATAAACAAACATGTAGCATGCTAGCTGGTAAGAAGTGTTAGGGTGGGGTGGTTGATGTTGTGGTGGGTTGCTGTGTTATACAGAGTGGTCTGGAAAAGCCTCTCTCAAAGATTTTTTGAGCAGAAGTGTGGAGGAGTGATCCTTCTGGGTTTTTGAGGGAGGAGCATTAAAAGCCAGTACTCTATGCAAGGATTACATTTCCTCTATATTCAAGAACAGCAAGGGGGCAGTTCAGCTGGAGGTGGGTGGGCAAGGTGAAGAATGTTGGGGGATGATGCCTGAGAGGTGGTGGTGGGCTAGAGCTTGGTCAACCACAGATTTCAAAAGTTGTAA